GTTGGTGGAATACAAAAGCTCTTTCTAGAGAAGAAGATCGCGCTCTGTATGCAATCTGTATAGCCTGTGTATGACTCTAGTAAATTTTTATTCAAGGTGTTCGCAGCAATGATTTGCTACAGTCAGAACTTCTATGTGACTTTTTGGAGAAGCTCGGAATATCGCGAATTGTTGTGGCAACAACATATCAAAGTGCACAACAGGCTTTACGGGAAATGCTGTCCGCTGTCACCAAAGAGGAAGGTGTTCTCGGAGTCCACACAGGATCATCACCACAGACATACTCTTGAACACATCGCAATGACTCACATTTGAGTAGTCGAGATTGTCTGTGCGTCCGTGTTTGTACTAGTATCTAATCACCGTTTGACACAATTTTACTAATAATTCTTTCTAAGACTCATCGTCCGAAAGCTAACGGAAATATTGCAGAAGCTTTCCTTTCGCACACAGACAACACGAATTTCTAGGCGTCTCAAGTCTGTATACCAGCTCTTTTCACGTTCTCCATACAGAGGCTATACAGATTGCATACAGAGCACGATATTCTTCTCTAGAAAGAGCTATTATATTCCACCAACGGGCTGCTCATGGTCCACAATGTTTCGCAAGGGGTCAGTGCATTGCGAAAACTTACGCAGTAGTTCTGGAACAGTTCCACAGAGTCAGGATTGACATTAGCCATATTAAGTATATTTGCCATTACTGTAGCGAGGTATCTAGTGAAGAGGAAGATTAACAGAATGATACTCATGCTTCTCATTGTGCGTTTGGCGACATCTTGCGGCTGATCAATGTGGCGTTTACCTGCGTCGAGTCTGTATCTTAGGAGGTTGAAAAATCTGGTGCGAGTGCAAAATAACTGCGTGAAAAAGTGTAACGCAAACTGGCATGTTCAACTTACTGTAATATAGGACAATGAGATAGGAGAGACAGTAGCTGAAGATTGTAATTCCGCCAGCTACGAAGGCCACAATATACCACCATTTTTTAACGTCTTCGTTCAATGCCGATGGTGGATTGCACATTTGTATTTGTTCATTATCTATCATAACAAACCCGAAAATCACCGACAAAAGACCGTACAGAGCAGATGGGAGAGATATAAGAGCCACATAAAGGTCATTCCTAGTTACACGATACCTGAAATTTTTTTCGATTGTTGTTTTGTTCGGAGGTCATATCGCCATCAGCAGCGATAGGGTTCTATGAGTGGCAGTTTATGTTCAGGCTTTTCTCGCAAATTTCCTCCTATGTACTTATTCAAATTGTTGCTTCAACGAAAAGATTTTATTTTGAAGCCTCTAATATGTTGAAGTCTTTTTGATTTCAAAACAGGAGTAACAGTTGAAGTTGAAATTGAAGCTCATAGAAAAACTTATGCAGCATACTGCTCAATGCATCAAAATGTGGCAGACTTACCACAAAGGAAATGTAATCGAAGTGAGCAGGTCAACCGCTATCGTAGCCATCAAGCCAGTTTGCATACAATGAAGAAAAACATAGCCGAATATAAGCTTAAGACATGTGGAACGAGTGCTCTAAATGAATAATTACGTTGTGCTAATGATCTTGGAGAGAATAATCCAAGGACTCGTTGTGCAAGCTAAAGTCACTCTAGCTGAGATGAAAACATTTGCCTAATGGTGAGTTCAAAGAACAGTCATGATATTGGAGTTGATATTAAAATTGAATTATTGAGGATAGGTGAACAGATTTGAAGTACTGTTACTCTGTGTGATCAACGTAGGTCTCTGTGCTGTGAAGGGAGCTCTCCAAATGTCTCTTCCAAAATTAATGGCGCTGCTGGGAAATCTTGTGTTTACAAGAGGATTCTGTATTCTGTGGTTTTTTTGAATTGAGCGTCATTACTGCAGTATAAGATCAAACCCTACATTGTCATAGTAGAGAGCTTAAGGGGCTTGCCAGCGTTCATGATTTTATTAGATTTGGAACGCTATCTCTTCAAAACGAGAGGCAGGACGCTCCGCAAATTTGGATTGAGCGCGCATCATGGAAGTTTTCTCCTGACTAGGTATCAACCTGGAAGACAACATGTAGTAGGAAGAAGCAATGGCTGTGGGGGTAGGCATGGCAGAACATCCTTAGTTTGCTGCGCTCACGTCGCGTGGGGCGTCAGCTGGACTTCACCATAAACATCGACGATATCATAGACTATAAAATCGGATTCGGTATACCGGTGTAGGCTTATGCAACATGGAGCGCCGAAACGGAAAGGCAAATTACTTTTAGATGATGTACGGCAGCAGCTGCTGTATTTAGAGACTTTTCGCTCGAATCGTCGAGTGCGTCTCTGTAACCTTGTGTGCGTGAGGAGCGATGACCAATGATGACGGTGATGATGATGTTACTATCAAACTCACGACCAATGATCTACGGTTTCGCTCAAGTGCAAAAAAAGTAGTCTTCCTAGTGGTCTTGACACTTAAACAGTAATCATCTGGTATAATGGCTTGTTGTAAAAACCGAACAGATGTAAATTTGATTTTGCAAATGATTACCCCATCAGAGGCCCTTGTTGACACGTTAAAGAGATGTGAAGCAGATGAACTTACGTTAGGGGTAGTGGATAGTATATAAATTCCTCCAATCCACTCATAAACGAGACATAAAGATTGACAAAATGACAGCAACGATAGCAGCAACCCTCAAGAAGCTGTCATTAGATAGTGAATTCGAAACTTCATTCTGTTGCTTTTCTTAGATTTAATCCGATTCCTCAATGAGGAGACTTAGCCAATTTCACAGTTCACTGTGTAAATGTCGCCTTACATTCCCACAATGAGGCCAGTAACAGCCTAATTTGGTGACAAATCCCACTGCACGTGCTTTTGAACTGACAAGCCAGCATTTCCACCAAAATGCACTGGGTTCAATCTTGCCTCTGCACGGCCTTATGCTCCTTTCGACATCATTTTGCAGGGTGGATGCTAAGGCTACATAAAACGCTGAACGAGGTGTTACCATGGCCATCACATCAACGCAAATTGGTGTCAAAAGAGCAACTGCTTTCTAGTTTTATTGGCAGTCGCTTTCTCTTGTCCCTTCCTACGCTCCTTATCGTACGAGAAATTCTGAGCATCACGAAGGAGATTAACTAAGAGGCCAGAAGATGTAAGAGATGAAAGAGTACGCTTCGCTGCTAAGAATGAGTCCTCCTGACGTGCTCACTGTCGTCAAGGAAATTTCAATCGGTCAAAAAAGACCACACAAAAGATCACATATTGTCCAGTACCGTAAACGAGCTGCTCAGCTGCTTTCGCACAATGCAAAGGACAATTTTGATACCCTCTGCTGGATAAAGCACGACTATCATCAAAATCTGCTAGCACGCAAAATGTAGGATGTTCCAGTGGGCAACACGAAAAGGTCTTACTTGCTTGGGCAAAAGAGGGTTTTTGCAATCTCTCGGAAAAACTACTTGCATTCTCTTGGACAAGATAATAACAATCACAAGAGTTTAAGGGAAATTTACCGTATTTAGATCTGAGTTTTGAGTGGCGAACATGTATTGCTATGAGGCTAATATTGCCGTAGAGGCCTATTCCAGTGAAAATGACGATACCAGTGAAAATCACGAAGCGATGTGTGTCATAGTTCACAACAGTTGTGCTTGCCATTCCGTGCCCAGCGAACGATTCCGGAAAAGTTGGAGATCCACTGAAATAAGTAGATAACGCTCCCATCGAAGCTGTGCAATATACCGCTAGAAAAAAGGTCAATAGTAAGACATCTGCAATCAACAGGCCGCTTCCTATTGAAGAATATCAGTTGCAATTATGCTACTACTTTGTAAGCGTTCTCATACCAAAGCGGCAGGAGAATTGGCGAAAGGCGATCTAACACCATTCAAGCCAGCAATACATAAGTTTTTGGGGGTGGTTTTCCCATTTTAGATATAAGATTGTGAATAGACGGGATATAAGAAGACCTACTGTGACTTATCAGATTGGAAAGAAAGTAATTCATTTGAAGTGCGGAAAACGTTCTCTCATAAACTTAGAAAGAACATGAGAGAACTTTCGAGTAATACCCTATTAACACTGCTAGTTTTCTACTAGCGTAGCATGCTTTTCGACCAAAGTGAGGCAGAACTAGGGGGGAAACATCGATCCCCTTTAAAGTGTCCTGAGAGACTTCAAAATCTTCCTGTGAAAGAGAAGTGGAAGTTCAGGATGGATGGTGAGAACAAAATAAAGAGAGCAGGATTTGGAGGAGGATACCCTTTGGTCACCACTTCATTAGTAGTCTCTTTTCTGATGTGAGGTCTAGTGATGTTATGCTGGAAACGTATTGGTACGCTGTCTACGAATGTATTGGAGGAGAGTAGTCTAATTTCATAGTTCAGGGACATTGATATTAGCAATCTTTATCACCAGAGCTCAATAAATCCTAGTCTTCTTCGACGCATAGGGTAGAGCTCAAGTTTCGAGTCGACGCGCTGCGTAGCGCTACAACGCGCTACCATTGAAGGAGCGCTCTAATGCTATAGACGAGCACGCATACAGACGCTAGGTACTGTGGGTATCAATTGGCGCTGGC